ATGCTGTTTTGGTGACTGTGGCCTTGTAGTATAGTTTGAAATTGGGTAATGTGATGTCTTTTCACCTAGTCTTGCTTTGGCTATGTGGGCTCTTTTTTGGTTCCATGTGAATTTCAGGATTGTTTTTTCTAGTTCTGTTAAGAATGATGATGGTATTTTGGTGCGAATTACATTTAAATTATAGATTGTTTTTGGCAGTATGGCCCTTTTCACAATGTTGTTTTGACCCATCCATGAGCATGGGATGTGTTTCCATTTGTTTTTGTCATCTATGATTTCTTTCAGCAGTGTTTTATAGTTTTCCTTATACAGATCTTTCACCTCCTTGGTTAGGTATATTCCTAAGTATTTTATTTTATTTTGTTTTGTTTTTGCAGCTATTATAAATAAAAGTGGTTGAGTTCTTGATTTGATTATCAACTTGGTCACTGTTAGTGTATAGCAGTGCTACTGATTTGTGTACATTAATTTTGTATTCTGAAACTACTGAATTTATCAGTTCTAGGAGCTTTTTGGAGGAGTCTTTAGGATTCTCTAGGTATAGATTCATATCATCAGCAAACAGCAACAGTTTGACTTCCTCTTTACCGATTTGTATGCCCTTTATTTCTTTCTCTTCTCTGCTCTGGCTAGGACTTCCAGTACTATGTTGAATACAGGTGGTGAGAGTGGGCATCTTTGTCTTGTTTCAGTTCTCAGAGGGAATGCTTTCAACTTTTCCCCATTCAGTATTAAGTTGGCTATGGGTTTGTCATAGATAACTTTTGAGGTATGTCCCTTGTATGCTGATTTTGCTGGGGATTTTAATCATAAAGGGATGCTAGATTTTGTCAAATACTTTTTCTGCATCTATTGAGATGATCATGTGATTTTTGTTTTTAATTCTGTTTATGTGGTGTATCACATTTATTGACTTGTGGGTGTTAAACCATCCCTGCATCCCTGGTGTGAAACCCACTTGATCGTGGTGGATTATCTTTTTGATATGTTGTTGGATTCGGTTAGCTAGTCTTTTGTTAAGGTTTTTTTTTCCTTTTTTTTTTTTGAGATGAACTCTCGCTCTGTTGCCAGGCTGGAGTGCAGTGGCACGATCTTGACCCTCTGCAACCTCTGCCTCCCGATTCAAGCACTTCTCTGCCTCAGCCTGGGATTACAGGATGCCCAGCTAATTTTTGTATTTTTAGTAGAGACAGGGTTTCACCATCTTCACCAGACTGGTCTTGAACTCCTGACCTCGTGATCCACCCACCTTGGCCTCCCAAAGTGCTGG